AGGACCAAGACAGAAAGTAGCAATGAGCACAGTCTCCTGGGGTGTCAAAATCCCCCACGCAGGCAGAACTTGCAGAAGCAACAACTCGTGGCTGTGCTTTCACCCACACAGGGAACCGAGAGCCAGAGCACGAGAGGAAAACCATTGCCTTTTCCCATAAACCAAAACTTTAAGAGAAAAGACAAAGCCCATTTTCCAAATTCACGTTTGGTTCCAGCAATTACTCACCACCAAGCTACATTTGCTCATGACTCAGTCTGAGACCTCGATTCAGAGCCGAAACCTCACCGAGGAGCCGGGCATGTTCTGACGAATGGGAAGAGCTGAGTAAACCTGTAAAAATTCTTTACAGTTAGTCGACTTCCTTAAAGCTTTGCTTCATACCAGGCTTTTCTACACCGTGAGGAATCTCAGTTACATTCCTTGGTACTGTCCCTTTGTTCCCCAGCGCAGCTACTCAAACACCACGCGCCCCAAAACGCAGGGGCTCCTTTTGAAGCGCTGCCAGGCTGCAGGCAACTGTGACCACATCCTTCTGCACACGTCAGGAACAAGTTTTCTGAAGGTGCCTCACCTTCCTTGAGATCTGCTGCACATAAAGCACCTGCCTGCATCACCCCCCCCCGGTGGGGTTTTCTGCAACCAAAGTTGATCTCCTGCCACAGGTTACTCATCAGATCTAAACTCTCAGCAGCAGGGTGCAAGTGCATCCAGGCACTGAGAAAATACACAGAAATTGTTTATTTAAATAGTTTATTTGGGCATTTACAGTAAAACCTGGCCTGGAGAGTGTAAATAGAGTCCCAGTTTCATGCCACTCTTACAACATTATTGTAAATCTAGTCATAGTATTTTTTACTTCAAGCTCAGGAATTATGCACCCAGCTGACCTTGCACTGGCACAGGAGGGAAGGAAGCTTTCCAGACCTCCTGTTTGCAAAGCAATAAAACATAACAGGGCTCAGAGATCAGAGGGAAAATAAACAGATCCTTTCGCTCAACCTCCTCCAACTCCCCCTTTTTTCCTCTCCCCAGCTTATATTTAGCTCAGGCTTCTCCATGCCCATGGAAGAGCTGCCCTGGGAGCAGGGAGGCAGGGCATCAGGGCCAGGCTCCTTGAGAACCTCCTCAGAACAGAAAATTGACAGACTTGCTCAGCAGAGCAGAGGGAAACAGCAGCTCTCAAGAGCAAAATAGAGATGAGATGGGCAGTCAGGCCCATCAGGGTCATTCAACATTTGTTTTTTAACCTGGTTCTGCTCATCTGAACCTTGCACAGCCTGAGGCTGAGATTCAAGGAACAAAAAATAGATTTGTGTGTGCACAATAATAAGTTGTCTGAAGTGAACATGTGCTTACAGCTCATCTTCTTCCCAGGGAAAGCCACTGGTGTGCACTGATCCCAAGTTAAAACCTAACCCAGCTCCATCCTCACACTCACATCAGCTCTGCTTATTACCCAGACTCACACAGACCCTCCTGAAAGCACCCTGAAGGGGTTGGTCTTCCAGGACTGCATGCTTGCATGACTATTTTAGAGCTGAAGTGTTTTGGATGCCTAATTCTTACCCATCCTAACTGGCCCAGAAAGGAGAAGGTGGGATCCTAGTGCAGCCCCACCTGCCCTGGTCCAGAGTGTTGCTTGGAGAGCAGTGCATGGAGGTGCTTTTTACTCACATTTCCAGCCTCTGTGTTTTTAAAGCCAGGCTGCTCATTAGCAATGCACAGCAACACCAAGCAATAGCTTTGTCCTGCAGAGTTACTCTCTTAATCAAATGCAGCTTCACAGAGCCACGTTGATCTAATTGTTCAATGTCCAGGTTCCCTGCCTTCGCAGAGATAAATACTCCAAGGAGCTGCATTTTGACTGGCATCCAAAACTCACCACTGGCTGCTGGGATTGTGATTTATTGCTGCTGCTAACAATCAATCCTAAGGCAACCATGTGCATTTGAACCAAGAGTCAGGATTGCACGAGGGGGGAACGAACACCCACCGGGAGCTGACAACTAATGGATCCTGACCAGCAGTCAACGCTCTCCCACGTTTCTGCATTGCAAACCCCACCCCAAGTGCACTGCACTGAGTGCTTCATGTCATCTCCCCTCTGCCTAGTCCAGAGCCATCAGTCTGGTCAGCCAGAGCTCTAAATTTCATTTCTCCACTTTTCAGTCTTACCTGACAACAGGCTCTCCATGTGCAGACACGGGGAGGAAGCTCAGAAGCTGTGCAGCCACCAACCCAACCTGCTGGGCAACACAGGGGTGCTCTCCAGCAAGCAGCAAGCCCCACTCACTCTGAGAGCAGCAGCTCATGTTCCCCAGGAAGAAGGCAGACAGGGAGGAGGCCCTGGAGCTGCCACAATCAATGTACTTCCAGCTACAGAGGAAGAAAAAGCACACATACAGCTCTGGCAGTGTGTGGCTCCAGGACAGCCTGAAAGCCAGTTTTGGGTAGCCATAAAAATGCCATAAATCCCAATCTCACCTCATAAAGAGGTGGCTGCTGTTTCAGGTTTATCCTTCCTTCGCATCACCCAGGCAGCTTCAGAAACCTGGGACATCACTAAATCAAAACCCAGTCCTGCCTCATGCAGCTGCAGAGGGTGGTCAGGAAACACCCTCTGCAAAAACTCCTGTAGCTCCTACTCAGCAGCAGAGCAGAGAAAACCCCAGAGGAAACCACCACCTTCCCTGGAGCTGCTTAAATTTGCCTCCTGGGCCATGGCAAGATTGTTCCCACCTGGGACAAAGATCCCATCTGGGCCAGCTGCCTGCCTGTCCCTGCCTGTCCCCACCTGCCCACTCACCAAGAAAAAATCTAAATCTTCCTGCACTGGGTTCCAAGGACAGGGGTGAGCTTTTGGCAGGGCTCCTGAGCAAGGGGAAAGGGAAAGAGGGAAGCAATTTTGCCCCCATCATACCTTAAATGAAGGGTATCTTGGGCAGTGCTTTTCCAGCCTTTTCCAGCTCCTTTCCAGGAGAACAAGGCAGGAATTACTTCCTCTTTTCTTCTGCCCAGTCCTTTGCTTTTGCTCCTAACACTGTTACACAGTCCTGTTTTATGCCAAAGCAGTGAGATTTTCTAGACTTTTTTTAAAGGAAAAAAAAAAGGTAGCAGCAAGTGTTTGGAGTAAATTCCCATTAGAGTTGGAAGAGTCAACATCAGGATTCCTGTGAGAGCACGTTGATTTCTTAATAAATCTCACTGAAACCCTTCACTGGAGCACTCACCATGAGGGAGAGTCTGTTTCCAGTCACTTTACTGAGGGTTTCTGCCCCTGGTCAAGGCTTCCCCTCCCTCGGTGCTGAGACAGGGCTCTGCCTGCACAGAGGCTTCGGGGCCAGCCTGGAGAAAAAAACTCCAACAAATCAAACTGTGGGAAATGCAGCCTGAGCAGATTAAAAAGCAAGAGGTTGACTCCAGGTTTCCCACCTCAAAGCACCCCAAGCCATCCCGAGAATCACTGGTGGGATGAACCCTGAGCACCAGGACAGGAGCTGAACAAGCCCTGGCATGGAGGGGGTTTGCTCCGTGCCCTCCAGGCACAAACCAGATTAAATGCAGGCAGAGGATGGACAAGGAGAGCAATGCAGAGTTTGGGTTAGGACAAGCAGATAAAATATGGAGACAAAAAGCAAAAAAGAAGTGCTTTTGTGCAATTTAGATTCTTTGAAGTTGGAATTTACACCTTCCAGCAAGCACACCAGGTAAAGCCACAAGAGCTGCAAAAAGGGCTCCGTTGCTGGAAGCAGATGGAAAATCTGAACCCCCTTTCTTAAGTCCTATTCAATTTGCAGCACAGAAATCTGTTTAAAATCAAAGGCTTTGCCACCTGGGGTTTCCAAAAGTCACAAAGTTGTTTCTTCCACTTAGCTGCAAAAAAAAAAAAAGAAAAAAAAGTTAAAAATAATCATTTGCCAATCAGTGCTGCTGCAGTGTCCCCAGATCACCTCATTAGCTGTGGAAAGGTAGCTTAGTAACAGCATCTCTCTGCCCGTTCCCACGCACTGCACGGGTTGAACTTGCCTTTTTTTTTTTTTTTTCCTTGTCATTTAAAAAAATTCCCTTTTGGAAAACGTGGTGTCAGCTGAGTTCCCATTTTCTGTGGGAAGATGTTGGTTTCAGCAGTGAATCCGAAAATGAAAAATGTCGTTTCGAAACAGTGATTCAAACCAAACCTTGTCCTTTCCCTGCTTCGCCGTGCCTGGAGCAAGGTGGATGTATCCCACTTGGATATTTGTGATCCTGAGGTTGGTGTAGGGGCATTGCCTGTTCTCAGACATTTAGTGTTTTGGGGTTTCTTTGCACACGAGATGGGAAAAATGCTTTGGAGCCCCTCGAGCCAACGTTGGGGCCCATCAGCATCAGCACAGCACTACAAACATCTGACTTCCTACCACGGGGAAAAGTGTTCCAGCCAAGGCCAGCTGCTTTCCAGCACTGCATCACCCTGGGTCATCTCTCCAGCAGCAATGGACACCAGGAATCCCACAAAATAAACCACAAGTGGGAGGTGAGTAGCACAGTTCAGGAATCAGAGCCAGAGGGTTGGATTTGGGGTTCTCCTCCCTGGGCTGCAATTAAGCTGCTTTCAGTCATAACCAGTGGTATTTTCCCAACTGGCCACCAGCCCGGGGCTGTGTTGCAAGTAACTGTCCAGGCAGAGCATCCCAGTCTCCTGCTGAAGCCCACAGGAGCTCCTCATGCCCACATTAAAGCCAAGTGTCCACCACTTGCCCATCCAAAGCAGCTGGAGGAGCTGCTTGTCAAAGCCAGGGGCCACTTCCAACAGTGCTGCCACCCAAAACACAGATTTATGATCAGCCAGAGAGAAGGGCTGGGGAGACCAAGGGCTTGGGCAGAGCTGGCGACCCTCAGACAAAGTCCAGGGATTAATGAATACACATTCCTTAATCCCCAAGAGGGAACCCAAGGTCTGGGTGAACCTACAGGACATCCATCCTTCAGACACACAAAAGAAAACGCCCTGCAAACAGTCAAGTTTTCAATCACTTTAATGTGATCACTGCAATTTGACCACAGTCTCAGAAAGGAAAAGAGTCACACGAATTATCTGTGCTTAGGATTTGAGTCAATCTACGCAGTTCTTGTTGATTGACGTTATTCAAGTTAAGACCTTCTGACCATCAGTGACGTTCTTGGCTGGAAAGGCAGGGCCGCGAGTGTTGGACAAACTGGTGCAAACCGGGAATGCTTCTCCTGGGAATTCAGGCTGCGCCACCTGATCTACTCAAAAGGAAGCAGAGCTGTACACGCACACAGGCACACACGGACCGAGCATGCAAATACACCAGGAACCAGCTACAGCTTCACGGGGGAAACACGGGGGGCAATACAGAGGCTGGGCGGTTGTTCAGAACAAGGAAGGGGGAAACCCACACAAATACCCAAAACTGAGCAGATTCATTTTCCAACATCCGAAAAGAAAATAGGAAGAGCTTTTGAAATTACATTGTGTTGACAAACTCTTGTGGTTTTTTTTATTTTTTTTTTTTTTGGGTGGGGGGTAACAAAGCAAAAGGTGAAGGCAAATTTTCCAAAGTATTGTAAAATTTATTGTATAAGTATTGCAGCTTTTAGAATGACATATAATTGCCACTATCGGTTACTGGTACACAAGAAGCGTTTACAACAGATTTTTGTAAATTGGCATCAGAGTACATATTCATACTAAAACAGCAAAATATAGATAAGTACTGCATTGCATGTGCTGTCAATAGTTTACATAAGTTTAAATTGAACAGAACTCAGGATACAGGACTGCCTATAACAAACTCCAAAGCCAACGCAATGCAACTGGAAGTTTAAGAAAATATTAATACAATGAAATGTGTCTATAAGGCAGGCAAATTAGGACTTTAATGTTGTCCTTCATGAGCTTCTATAGTACAGCAAAAATTTGAAGCATGGTTTCTGGAAAACTTCTTTTTGTTTTTTTGTAACTTTGTGTTGTACACAGAAAATCTCTGAGTGGTACAGAGACAGAAGAGATTAAAAATTCATCCTGTTCTGGCCTAGCACTGTTAATGCTACACGTCTGATTCAGTCTTTTCCCGATCCTTAGTAAAAACGTTGGGCTTTTCTTTATTTATTTTTTAATATAGCAGTTAGTGCAATTTCATAGTTCAATACACACACAAAAGGGTGATTCTCCAGAAAGCAATGGGATATCCTTAGACCCCCACTTAAGACAGAATGAATTTTGTAACACTTATGGAAACAACACACTGGATTAGTAAAGCTGAATCCTCAAACCGGTGAAATCAAGGGTTGTGAAGGGAACACGTGTTTTACCAGTGTCAGCCCCAAATGAAACCCATCCTTCCTCCCCATCCAGATTGACAAAGCCACGTTCCCACTCCAGGCCATTAAGATTTGGGGGCACTTTAAGGATGCTGTTTGCCGTACTGTAAGCTAAGAAACTCTGCAAGATGAACAACCCCTTTTAAAGCTAACGTGACTTAAAACTCCAAGCAAAAAGGCAGGGTAGGACACGAGGTTGCTAAGCATTAGCAATGCCTTGTTTTTTTCTGTATTTACTTAAAAATGAATCACTCCTAAGGGGCCTGAATCTCTCTGCTGGAAGCTGCAAGACACCTGTGGAGCAGGGCCACAGCCCAGCTCTAGCACCGCTCTCTGCTGAGCTGCACCAAGGCCAGAGGGAACGGGACAATCAGCAAGGGTGTGCAAAGCAAATTCCCTGCCTTGGTGGCAATACGGGACGTGGGAATTGGGAAGAAATGGACCCCGAGGCAAAAAGTAACATTAAATAGTAATAATAATAATAACAATAACAACAACAATAATAATAAAAAAAGAACAGACCATTATTTCTCAACACCCACTCAGAACTTGGAGTTGATCTGAGCCCAAGACCTGGTATCTGCACTTGAAATACACAGTTCTTGGGAATGCAAAGAGAGGGATGGACAGAAGAAAGACAAAAGGTGACAGCTTGGCTCCATCAAGGAGCTGCACCCGCTGCCTGGGACCTGGGGCTCCCCCTCACCAGGGCTGCACTGGCCTGGGGAAAGGTGGCAGCTTGGGTTTTGTGCATGGATGGGCTGAAAGGCATCATTTGCAACACAAATTTGGTGTTGATGAGCCACCCTGTTTCACACTCATTAAGTTCCCCAAACTAGAGAAAGAGGTAAATGAAACTGGACCCAGGAACTCAGCAAACTGATCACTCAACTGTAGAGCTCAGGGTGATGCTTGAGAAGTAAAAGCTCACACTGGGAGTGGATTGGGGAGAGAGAAATAAAGAAAGAGAATTGGTTGAAATTTTGAGGACTTCCAAGCATGAAAGCTGGGTTCAATTGCACTGCATCTTCAGACCCTCTTCCACTACCCCTCTGTGCCTGTCCAGCCCCTGCCCACTTCCCTGACTTTTCCACGGGGTTTGGTGTCCAGGTGACACCCTGTGACAAGACAATCCTGCTACCTAACAACCTCTGGTCCCCACGCCACCTCCTTACTCACTGCTCAGTTTGAAACGTGTGATGCATATTCCACCCAAAATCTGCTGAGGTAACCGTATTTTTTTTTTATAGCAAACAAACTAGTTCAGATCACTGAACAACCACCCTCCCCCCCCCAAAAAAAAAACACCCCAAAACAAAAACAAAACACAAACACCCAACCCCAACAACACTATTCACGCATTTTGGCTCAAGAGGGCAGTAGATATTATATTTCGGTTTCTCTTTTGGTTGGTATCTCATTTACAATATCCACCACAGATTCCTACCTCCCCGGGTAGGATAATGTGCATAAACGTGTTCAAGTTCCCTAAGAACAGTCGGAGCAGAGCAGCGGCCGAGGGAGCAGCCGGCGTGGCCAGGCACAGGGAGCTGCTCCGGGAAAAAAAGGGACTGGAAAAGTGAATGCAAGGTCCAAAGGAGCAAGAGACCAGACGCTGGTTACTCGTGACACTAAGGATGATTTTGCTTTCCCCTCTCTAAAAAGGGAGGGTTACTGTTTCTTTAATAAGGCACTAAATAGACATGTTACATAAAGGAAAGATACATTTTAAAAACTCGTACAAATTCGTCAGTTTTGTACCTTTCATGACAAACTAGATTTATTTCCTTTGCGTTCTTTTTTTCTTTTTTTTTTTTGTGGCTTTTTTTCTTTTTAGGTCATCAAAATTTAGGTTACATGACTGTAAAGCTATGAAGATTTCAAGAGCTGTGGAAAAGCAGTTCGAAATATTGAGAAGGTACAGGACTATTTCTAGGCAGAAATAAAAAAAAAAAAGCAAAAAAACAATGATCAAACTTCAAGTTCAGCTATTCATCATCTTCTTTAAAATATATATAAATATTGTTCAAATGGTCAGAACTTCAAAACCGTTCTCATGGTTAGGTTCGTTTTCGTTTTCAAGTAATAGAAAAGTCGCTTAAAAACAATAGTTATTGCCTTTATATCTTTCATTTATGTCACTCTACTAGATAGCATCCTGCAGAAAAAAAAAATCAAATCACACCCCCTTGTAAAACCTTCGCTCTCTGTGGTTTCCCTACCGACCCTTCCTCGCGCTCGGAGAGACGGGACCCACAGTGGGATTTTTCCCTTTTTGCCTCCTCTCCCTCACTCTCTCAGGTTTCCCACTCGCTCGCTCCGTCACGTACGAATTCACCGCGAGGGCAACGCACCTACCAGACACCTACATGATATAAAATGTAAACAAGAGCATCGTAACACACAAAAAAAAAATGCTTCCGAAACCAAGATAAATTAACGACGCACAACACCCGGCGGCGGGAGGGCAGGTGGGACCGTGGGGTGAGGGACATTTCAGAAGAGGGAAGGGGGGGTTGCTTCTAAAGCCTTAAGCATATTTCTGTAGCCTTTAATTAATACATCATCACAGGAGCAGATTCATTTCCATCTACTGTACCCGGTGCCTCTTTAGCTGGGATAATAATGGGATGATAATGTAAAAAAAAAAAATCAGGATGACCAGGGACGGCAGAGCTGCGAGACACAGCTGCGCCTGCTTATGCCAAACAGAGGTTTGGGAGGCTGATACAAAATGAAAATGATGTTCACCACCACCACACTTTTCAGCTCGTCCTTTCAAGGAGACATTTAAACCCAGCTGAAAGGCAGCCGGTGGGTGCGTTACCAGTGAGACTCACACCAACTTCCACAACCACCACTTGGGCTCCAACAGGGCCCTTCAGTTGAACATTGAAAGAAATAAACCAAAAAACACTTTGTTCCTTCAGACACAGAAGTTTATTCTCATCCCAACCACCCCCCCCCTCCAAAAAGTTAGAGGTTGTAAAAAAAAAGATAAAAAAAAAAAAAAAAGAAAAAAAAAAAGAAAAAATCAAGTAATTTTGGCCTGCTTCAGTCATTCCTGACTCTGGGAAGCAGGGAGTTTTCATTTTACCTTGTTACTCCAATAATCCTACCGGATGACACACAGACACACACCAACTCCTCTTGCTTTGTAGGGAATGTATAAAGGCGTGGCTGTCGGCGGCCACGCGCAGGGACTCTGGAAATTCAGGATTTCCATAAGCTGCATCTCGCTCACCGCTCCTCCCAGGGCTGGCATCTCCACTCCAGCGATCCTCCTCCCCTTCCAGCTACTTTGTTCTTCACTTCGACATAGATCCCTTAACAGGTTCATGGTAGACATGATAGAGGCTTTGACCAACACAAGCACTGACATATTTATATTAAAAAATAGTGCAAAATTTCAACATTTATATAAATAACTCTAAACCCCTGCTTTTGATTTTTTTTTTGTTTTTTGTTTTTTTACAATGTAATACACGCTTTTTGAGTTGGCACTCAAAAAATTGCCATTTTTCTTCTAGTTCAGAAAACAACTTTTTTTTTTTTTTGAATAGGCCTCTTCTAATACAAAAATACTCCTGCTCCTTACACATACACTTTCTCTTATTTTTAATATATATTTATATATTTATATTGCAGATCTTTAAACAAAATGGTTTTTGTGCAAATATTTTGTTTTTAAAGATAAGTGAAATATCAAACAAAAAAAAAAAGCATTCACACACAGCCCAACTAGAAACAAAAAAAAAAAAAAAGAAGACTACAGTTGATTTTTTTTTTCCTTTTTAAACGTCTAGACACAGCTCAATAAAGAAATGTTTTTGCAAGCTTGGTAGGCTTGTGCATTCAGACCAGACATAACAAGTAAATATTTATACACGGAGAGATGGGGAAGGGCTTTTTTTTTTCTTTGCTCATCTTCCTCAACTCTCTCTCTCTCCTTTTTCTTTTAATGAGAAGTGCAGAGTGTTTCATTTACTTTCTTGCCTTTTTTTTTTTTTGCTTTTTTTTTTTTCTTTTTTTTTTTTTAAAAGGGGTGCCCTTTTTGTTTCTCTTTCTCTTTGTTCCACGCCGTTGTGCTCTCAAGGCCATTGATCTGTGAGTGATGGAGTCTGCTGCCCTCCAAGATGGGGGGCATCCCGTTGTTGTTCTGCTGGTGCTGGTAAAACGTGGACCCTGGGTAGTGCCCGATGACCTCGCTGTAGGTCGGGGGTGGTCCCTCCATCCTGCCATTGCTCCCATAGCAGGTCGCGCTGATGCCAGAGTTACTGCTGGGGGGGCACGGCCCCCCGTACACCGAGTTATCTATCAAGTCACTGTCGAAGATGGTTCTGTTGGGGGGGGCCCGCACCGACTCTCTGTTGAGCTCCATTTGCTGCTCGGGGTCGCGCAGCTGCAGCGTGCAGGGTCCCTGGTACGGGGGGGGCTCCTCGCCGTCCGACAGCGAGATGGTGGGCGGCAGGTCGATCTCGTGCTGCATGTAGGGGTAGGTGGGCTGGAACCGGTTGAAGCGGTCCCTCTGCAGGAAGGATGGCACTGCCAGGCGGTCGCTGGGCCTCGGGGTGTAGATTTGCTGCTGGAAGGGAGAAAGAGAGAGAGAGAGAGGGCGAGGAGCGTGAGACGCTGCAGCGCGGGACGGCGGGAGAGGCAGCGGCGCCCGCATCGCCCTCACCTCTGTTATTCCGTTCCCCGACACGGTGCTTTCCGAAGGCCACAGGCTTCCCTCCTGCATTGGAAAGGAGAAGAGAAGGCACAGTGAGTCTGACTGCCAGGGTGGGTTAAAGTTCCCTCTGCAAACAGCTCGTGCCAGGTCTCACCCCAGAGCCCAGGTAAGATGCTGCTGCTGCCGCCAACAAGTTCCTGCAGCAACACACAGCACATGACCAGAGGATGCAGAGAGGGTAATCAGACAACAGAATGGGCTGCCCAGGGAAGTGGTGGATTCTCCATCCCTGGAGGTTTTTAAGATGAGACTGGATGTGGCACTTAGTGCCATGGTCTAGTAACCACGGCGGTAGTGGATCAAGGGTTGGACTTGATGACCTCAGAGGATCTCAGAGGTCTTTTCCAACCCAGCTGATTCTATAATTTTATGAATTCACTATGATCATATATGCTGGGTGTCACAGAGGTACATGCTAAGGTATTACCACTGAAAACACCCCTTCTGATCAAAATTTCCCTCCTCCATTTTCACCTCCATTTCTATTTAATAGATCATTTGCAGAATGAATGATGAGAACGACACCAGCAAACAACCCTCTCTCCCGTTTGCAGACTTCCCCCCTCCCGCCCCCACACACCCAGCATGGTTCTTTCCCTGGTTCAAACATGCCAGAGGAGTATTTTTCAATTTGTGATCCATGAGCCGTGGGTGATTCACAAGACATCAGAAAATGCTCCGTGAAATAATGACAAGATTGAAAAAAAAAAAAACAAACCAAAAAAAACCCCCTCACACCCACATTCTGATGCACACAATCAAGGAAATCATAGGAAAATAAAGATAATAAGCAAAGATCCAAATGTTAAGTCTAATTTTGATTTGGCTTAAAAAAATAGAAATCTGTAGCAAGCGGATGGTTCCAGAGTATTTTTTCCACAAAATGATAAGTGGTCCTTGGCTTAAAACAGACTGAGGGATTGAGGTGTAGAGGTTTCCTTACACTGCAAACATCACCCTGATCCTGCAATCCAAACCCTGGTGCCAACAACCCCAGGCATGATAAAGCCACAATTTCCCCCAAACCCTGAGATTAGTTTACAATTCATGATCAAAACAAACAAACAAAGGTCTTCCCATCTGCTAGTGATACTCTGAGTGTACACAGTTCACCCCAGACACTTTTGCCTTAGGGACAGAAATATTTAAATATTGCTAATATTCACATATAGCAACATCCCTCTGGCAGGCAGGGCTGGAGGAAAACAGCCAGAAGGCTTGTAATTATAACCTAGAATAGCTGGCACTTCTCAGTTCCTTGCAGGTGAATCTCCAGCCCTTGCACTAGCAAGTCAGGCACAGGCAGAAGTATTTACCAACAGTGGAAAAAAAATGCCAAGGGAAAAAAGAAACCCCCTTTATCCCTTTAAGTGTCCCACTCAAAACCTATGCAGCAGGGCCCTCCTGGTGAGCAAACCACACACCTTCCTGCTATGAGAACACATATTGCTCTAATGGTGGGGGGTCCAGGCAGCCCCGTGCCCCCCGACACTCTGTGAAAAGCTGTAGTGGTACAGCAACACCACAGGCACTTTCCCTGATAAAGTCAGAAGGGATTTTGCCTGTCTGATCCTCCCTGGACCTCATCCAGCTGTGAAGCACATCTGGCCTCATCCCAGGATGCAACACACAAGGGAAGAGGTTGCTGCATTCCCTTGCAGCCATGGCAGCATCTCCAATCCCCCTCCTGACAGAGCCAGGGTGTCCCCGTGGGCAGTGCCAGACCCCAGTGCTGTGACAGGAGCCTCAACACCCCCCTGCAACATGCACTGACAGCCCAAAACACGGCACCAGCACTGTGCTAAAATCTGCAGAGAAACCACCCATTATATCCCCCTGCCCTCCCTTTTTCTTATTTTCCCCAACTTTGGAATATATTTTCTCCTATGGTATCACACATGGTATCAGATATGGACAGAATATATCAGGTTCCTGTTTTTCAAGCTCAGCTCTGCACATAAACCTCAAGGCAGTCCTGGTGCCAGTGCAAAGAAAACAGTGATTTATATGGAAATGAGATGGCCCAGAATCTTCTCCCTTCTTGGTATTTTTTAGGAGCACCTCCTCGGAGCAGAGGTAAAGTTCCACAATACCCAGTACCAGCACCTTCCCTGGCCACAGCTGTGGAATGTGCTGGCTGAGCGACCGCCCTTCCCCGTGTTTCCTACAGACCTTGAGATTCCAACATGCAACTGTTTACACAGGCATCGACTGTTTAGTCTGGTCCATTTTACATGGATTTCTTGCCTGCAGGGATAGGCTCCAGTCAAACTCCCCCAGCAGCTAAAAGATCCATGGGGAACTGCATCTACCACAGACCAAATCCTTGCCTCTGACTCCCTGCTCAGCCATGGCACTGACACCAAAGGGCACAGGGAGGATTGCCAGTGCCACCACATGCAGTGCCAGACTTTCACCTCATCCCAAAGGACGCCAAAGCAGCAGGCAGGAGCGGGAAGCACTCCGAAAATTGTGTTTACTTTGCCATGCCCCCGTGGCAGACTTCCTGAGCAGTGAGTACCCCACTGCCTTCTGCTAGATGTTTTATATTTAACTTGGCAGTGGGCAGTGCCATGGCAATATCCCATCTGCTTCCCCCTTTCCTGGGAGTGATGTCAGCCAGTGCCCATGAGGGTGGCTGCATCCCGGCTCTGAGAGCATTGCCGTGCTCAGCTGGGACACCCCACTGGCAGATAATTGGGAGGGCACGTACACAACATCCCCTACCCCCAAGCACCCAGAGTCTGCACCAATATCCCATCCAGGTGTTTGGCAGCAAAGCTCTGGCTCACACACCAACTCATCTGTTTGTACAGATGAGGTCCAGGAATGATGCTCTGGGCAACACACGGATGCAAGAGCAGCAAACCAGTACAAACAGCACTAAAATGGGATCCTCACAGATATAAGGAGCAGACAGGAGATTGTTTTCTATAGGAGCTGGATCTCTGCAGCTGTTACCAACCACCTCTGCCGGGACTCCAGAGCCTGACCCGGACATGCTCACTCCCTGCCACCAACACACTACCACGAGCCCAGCTGGGGAATGGCTCAGCTCTCCTAAAAACTCCACAGTGGGATTAAAATTGCTGGAAATCAGTAATCAGAGGAGGGGAAAGCCTCAGGGACAGAACACATACATGCTTTTAGCCTTCACTTTGGCCCTGGGATGGCTCCACAGCCCCACCAAACCAGGCAAAACTGTGCTGCCCCAGCGGGAGGGTCACAGCTGGAACCCTCGTCCTCGGGGCTCTCCTCACTCACCTCTGATTTTCAGAATATTTAGGACTTGAATCCATCTCAACAATGAGCAGTCTAGAAAGCCATGGTTTTCTGAAATGAAAGCTGAGATTCTGCTGTCTGGTAAGCAATAGAGCTGTAAAAGCCTCCGCAAGTATTCCAGGACTTGCTGCAGAACCTAAAATTACTTTTTAATTTCTTTTTAGAGAAATCAATCTTCCACTTTTATAGAACTGCTTGTTTTAGTAATGTCAGAGAATTTTCTCTGTAAAGCTGCATGGTGCAAATTAAGCTTCTGAGCCTTCAGAGGGACTCATATTTTCCATTTTGGGGGACAAAGATATGCTTGGAAACTGCAGTTAAACCACTTTTTCCTGGGGGAGTGGGATACCACTGCTCCAAAGGTGCAGGGACAGTGTCATTCTGACTGCAAAAAAAAGTTTTCAGTAGCATTTCTAAATATTCTTAGTTCTGGAAAAATAAAGTTACTTGTCATAAGGAGACAGAGTTTGAGTACAGCGAGAACAGCGATGGAGAAACACATGAGGTAATACAAGAACTGCTTGCCAGCGAGAACCGCATTAAAAAAAAAAAACAACCTTTAGGGAAATTAATTTCTCCTTCAGCTGTAATTTTTGAGCTACAGCAACAAAAAAGGACAACTCCGGCAGACCGAGCATCCTCCTGACCATGGGATGAACTGCTTTAATATTTCAGAAGATGAAAAGCGTGAATGCAGCTCCAGTGCCCGTCTGCGGTCACGACACCAAAATGAAGTTTGGGATTTAAAAAGCCCAACACCAGTTCAGCGCAAGTTTAATGGATTACATAAACCAGTATCCAGCCCTGAGTGGCCTCTGCCTGCCAACACCCAGCCCTCCTTCAGACTGGAGCTGCTTTCTGCTAAAAGGCACACTGTGCTGAGCCTGAAAGGTGCTGCCGTTAAGATCTTTATTATGCTGGATCCCACTGTAATGAGATTCCCACTCATTAGCACATGAGGTGCTTCTCCATCCCATCAGGAAGGTGCTTGGGCCACAGGGAACCTCTGCTGCCATTCCAACAACACTGCACACACAGCATGGACAGCGCAGGGAGATGGGGAGTAGTTCTAAAGAGGGGAAAAACCCCACTAAAATTCCACATTCCTATTTCTCTCCTCAAAACCTTTTTTAGATTTAAAGACTCCACACCCTCACTGAGGTCATGCAGAGGCACAGAGGTGAAACTCTGCCAAAAAGCCATTAAATCACTGATGTGTCTGAAAGCTGAGTAAATAACAGAGCTGGGCCAAAAAATGGCTGAAAATGTCGGTCTGGTAAAATTCAAAAAATTAGAAAGAAAAAAAAAGAATAAAAGGCAAAAAGAATTATTTTTTTAAACAGTCCATTTTTCATTCAACCTGAAATTTTTGGTCAATCTCCATGTGATTTTCTCTTCTATTTCCATGCTAGCCTTCTTTACTCTTTTTAAAGAAAATAAAAACAGGCCACTTAAGAAAACAGAAATTAGCGTATTAAAATAAAGAGGGCTTGATGTGAATTTTGCCTTGAAAACGTAAAATGAAACACTTGGCATTGTTCAAGTAAAACATTCTGGGCACGATAAAACAGTATAAAAAATCTGAAAACAGGAAAACAATGTTTCTGCTATTTTTAATAACTTGTGCTCGGGTGCCCACACTTTGCCACTGCTGGATGTGCACAGGATGGTAAGAGGAACATAAGATTTCAGTGACCCCCAGAGAAGCCAGGATGCCTGCAGGGAGTTTAGCCCTGATCCCCAAAGAAGGGAGGTGTCTGAGTGATCTCCACCCTCCCACCAGCTGGTTTAATGTGGGATCAGGTGGGATCGAGCATTCCCAGCACTTTGATCCCGCTGCAGCAGGACAGACATCCTCAAGCTGGGCTCACGGCCGTGCACTCTGCAGATGTGCTCCACAGCCCACGGGATGAAGGGTGAGTTAACTGAGCTTGGGGTTTGCACAGCTCTCCTTCCCAAGGGGAATCTTCCTCAGTCGGCACAAAGCAACTGATAAGGGACCTTCGTCTGCCGCGTGTGGTGTGTGACAAAACGAGCAGCTACGAGGGACAGCCCTGGGCAGCCTTCAACTGCACTGTGCTGAAGGCTGATTCAGTAAAAGATGTCAGGAAAAAAAAACAAAGAAAGTGGAAAACCAGAAGAAAACAAAAAAGCAGGCAATCCCAGTATTTGATGGTTTTTCCTGCAGCGAGTACAGATTTGATTCAAGAGAGCACTGTCCCACAGCAGCCTGCCCTGGGACCCTGCAAAGGAGGGGGTATGGAGCAGTGACCTTCAGAGAGCCCTATTGTTTAAAGAGCTCTAAGATCCTACAGGGTGAAGGCTAAAAAATAAAATAAGTCTCAGTACAAGATACCCCTGCGCTGAAGACAGAGCCAGGGAGGCAGCTGTGAATTAAACACTGTCCTCCAAGAAAATGTGATGTCTTTTCTTCGTACATCCTTCTAAGTCTCTCTGAGCCACTGCATTTGAGAAAACTGCATGAACCAATATCTGCCTCGAGGCTGGAGAGGTTTCCCCTCTAATCCCTGTCAGAGGTACAATTAACATGTTTCTCCTCAGGCTTTTTTATAAGGCAGGGAGCCTGGGTTACAGAGAACCTCTCGTGCACCCCCTTGGAGAGATTTCTGCTTGTCTGGCTGACAAGTGTTTTCTGGCCCTTCTACCACCAGCATCAGTGAAAACTGGAGCAAGTCTGTCAGGATTTCCTATTCTCTGCAAGGTAGGCAATAAATTTTTATACAGTCATTTGAGACAGACTGGAGTCAAAGAACTCAATAGCCTGGGGCTGCTGAAACAAGGCATATGAACCCCAACCAGCTGAGGGTACGTGGTGGTTTCAGGAACAGGACATGCCAAGAACAGCCTTGTGCAGTTACTTTACTGATGTAAAATCCGAATTGCAAAGCCCAGGGCAAAAGCAGATGCTATGGCTGTCCATAACTTAGCACATAGAGAACCCTAAAGAGCCAGAGGCACCCCTGAAAGGCTCCCCCACCCCCAGTAACTGAGAGACACACAATGCCAAGGCCAAACATGATCCGGCACTGGTGGCTGGAAGAGCAGGGTGTGACTTACTGATGAGAGGTTCTCGTCTCGCCGCCTGCCCTGGCTGTGCCGGCTGATGAAGGATCGCGCAGAGAGTTTGTAGTGGTTCAGCAGACACGTGATCACCACCACCATCACCATCATCACCACCACGATTATGATTATCTGTACAAACTCCAACTCCGCTGCAAGAGAGAGAGAGAGAGACAGACAGACTTTGAGCCATCAGGAAAAGCAACAATTCATTGAGCACAAGAATAACTAATGTGGCCGAGATGCGATGACTCTGCTCATCCTTCCCCTTAAAGCTCTCACACGTGCCTACGTGGGCTCTGTGTGCTTTGAGCACAGCTACTTACTTAATAAAAACCTCATTAATTCACTTTTTCACTGTCACAGAAGGATCTCTAGGAGGTATCTTTAAGATCTACAAAGCAGTGTTTCCAGGCTACAACACAGACCAGACCTCCCAAAGCCCTCCTGGCTGCAGTGTGCTAGACATCCCCACTGCCAGGTACAAAACCAGGAGCATCCCAGTGCCTCACTCGGGGCCACACAGCCATGAACCAGCATAATTCATCCTAATGAAACCATTTAGCTGAATGCAAACTAAATTTCTGCAATTCTCTTCCCATCACCACCACTCCTTCCTCCAGGGAGGACTGGACTGGAGTCCTCCTCGGCACATTCCTGCACCAGGCACATGTCCCCTCTGTCAGGGGCATCACAGTGGGAGCCCAGGGGATGGCACAGCACAGCAGGCACTGGCAGCCCCCCTCTCTCCATTGCTGCCCATCCACCACAGGAAGCAGGCGGGGAGACCTCCTGCTTTTCGGTGAGACGCCAGATGGGTGCGATGTGTCTGCCCATGGGGGCCACATCCTGGAGCTCCAGACATCCCTGGGCTCAGGGCTCGGCCACCTGACAGTGGCAGCTTGAGTGGCTTGAACTGGCATAAAGGAAAGCTGCCAAAACCCCTCCAAACAAACAAGAACAAGCAAACAACAGACTACCCGGTTAACTCTGCAGACACTTGGCAGGAGGCAGTAAGAAGCCACTCCTAAAATTTCCTAAGGAAATAATTCCTCACACCTCTCTGAGGCTTAGGAAAATTGAGTACTAGAGGCAAACGTAGCACTCCCTGGGTCGTTATTTCCATGCATTTGGCAGCCAGGGAATACCTGCCATCCCCAAACCACTCAGCCACTTCCCTCCAAACCCCCTTGTGCCAACAGTGCCCAGGGCTGGGCAGCAGCAACTCCACTGCCCAACATAAAGGAGGGGCCAGACCAGCAACATTTAATAGTTCTGGGGATTTACACTTTGTTTGCTTCTCAGTAGGGACAGCTATAAAATCCAGTTTAGGAAAGCTGTGCCCTAAGCTATCGTGGATGCTGCCATCTGTATTTAATCTATACAGACACACACGTATATGTTTGTATATACATGGCAAGGCCCAGCAGACCTCCAAGGGCAGCATCACACCACTCACACCAGCTGGGGTGGCTTCTGCTGAGTCAGGCAAATTTATTATTTTTTATTTTTTTTTGTGGAAAGTTTTCTCCTGACAGGTGGCATTTGAGTGCCAGTAAAAGCAAATAAATGTCAAGAAAACAGTCCAGGTGGTGAGCACTGCCATTTACCTTGGAGCTCTTTCTGCTAAACAGCAGCTATTTCTGCCACTGCCCACTGCCTGCAGAAAGCAGAATTATGCCTTGAAAGCAGGAGCCTTATCTGGCACTTCGAGTGAGGGACTTGGAGCACCCCTAAAACGCAGCTCCTCTACACCAGAAGGATGCACACGGGGTGGGGAGAGAGGGATTAAAAGCCAAACGTTGCAAAAGGAGTTTTGCCTTGAAAATGCCTTTCATCTTAAAGGACAAGCTCTGGGTCTTTCACAGCAACCCCAGCAAGGTGCCCCACGCCACTGTGAGAGGAAGAGCATGGATAAAAAACCCCCCAGATTCCCAACCATTTGATCCAGCCCCAAAGCAGCACAGCTCACCCTTGGGAATGACAGGTGACCGGACCCAGGAGCTGCCAGTGGTGCCTTGTGCTGGAGAAACTGGCTCAAACAAGAGCTCATTTCTTCTAAACACAGCTCATATGCTGCAGAGCAGCCACACAGCCTGGGTGCAGAGCCCATTTTTTTTTTTTTTCAGAATTCGTTATGGAAAAGAAAAAACTAAACAAAAAAAGAAAAAAGAAACCCAGAAGTTTTTAGGAAGATGAGTCACTTCAGCCTCAAATGCACCATGTGCTTTGGCCACGGTAAGAAAACACAAGAAAAAATATAAATGGAGCCAGTGATGGAAAACTTCCTTTTCTGTTAAAAAAGGTATTTCTGAAGAAAAACAAGACTAAAGTAGTTGTAAAGGAAAGTTCCTTTCCTAGGATGAGAGGTCCCTTAAATGAACCAAACCTTGCTAAATTGGTCCTGGTACTTTGGTGACCCAGGTGAAGTTTTGGCCATCAGAAGTGCTGCCCTAATTCCTTCCAAGGAGGGAACACACACAAGATGTGTCACTTACAAATGACCTAAACCAGGCTCCCCCCACACACATATAGACATAGAACCAGCAGAGCCTGAAGCAAAAGAAAGGGTGGAAATTCCATCAGGGTTTAGGACAACACGCCTGCGTCTCGTCCACCCCTATTCAGCCTTCAGTGCTCTGGGACTCCTGTAACTGGAGTATTACAAAACACTTGCCAACAGGTGCAACAGGAAGGCACAGGATGAGGACCAGAACAAAGGGGACTCTGCTTTCCAGCAGGGATGTTCCTCCTGCCCCATCTCTATCCCAAGCCCAGGCTGTGAGGAGCTGCCCAGCCTCGCCATGCCCAGGAGCAAACCCATCCCATATGCAGAGATGAGCTTTAATCCCAAGAACACTCATGTTGCCCAATCTGGCCTTTGGAAAAAATAAAATAAAAGTCAAACCAAACCAAAAAAAGGCCCACACACTCAATTTGTTCTTTTCAAGTTTCAAGAGACTCATTCCCACTCGAGGCACCAAAGTTTCTGCCAACTCTCCCTCTGTTTTAACTTGTCTTCATGGGCTTCATTTGCAGAAGGGAAAAACAAACCCAACACACTGAAAAGCTGGATATACTCAGTAAGATTTTATCCAAGCAGCTCAGTCAAACTAATGAAGAAAGATCATTAAAAACCCCAAGTTTGAGTTAATACATTATTATACAAGTGCAATTCAGCTGCTATGCTAATAAAAAGCCTTTGGGGAATGAAAAACAAGCCAAACTGCAAAGCACATAATTTATAATTCTACTGGTATTCTTAAAAACACACACACAACAAAACAAGAAAAAAAAATACTCAACACATTTTGTATTTGGCTTCCTAATCATTGTCACTTTTCAATTAGAAGAGACCTCATTCCATTTCTCTCTGTAATTTTCCCCAGGGGAAGTGTTATAAATGCACTAGGCTTTACAAGATGGGCATATTCCACCTCCAAATGCAAAGCAAGGTCACACTAATTTAATTTTGCATAATTTTTATTCCAGAATACGTTTCAAACTAACAGGTTCAGACATCACATTTAAGTGACACAACCTGCTTTTCCGTATTTCCTGTCTAGACGCGGCAGCTCCGGGAGCCGGTCACCGTGCGTGCAACCGTTTTGCAACTAAAGCAATTTTCCCCCCCAGATTCTCACCATCCCCAAGCCGGGTGTTCGTGATCGAGTCGAACCTCCTGTCATGTCCCATTCCTCACGTTCACCGCTCGCTTGCCACCTCCAACCACGCGTGGCCCTGAGCGAGGGTTTCACATTAACGAGCGATCGGAGACTCCGCTGCTTCCCAAAGCCTGCTCTCCTGCTTGGAGGTGTATCCAGGAGGCAGCTCATGTCCTTGCTGCCCACCCCCTGCCCACCAAGACCACAATGCCCTAAAGTGCTCGGAATTCAGAGCCGACGTGGGGGGCACCTCACTGGCACGACCCCACTCGTCCCACTGCGGACCACGCTCACCGCTCCACAGAAGCAGCTGCAGGAAGGTGCATCTTCTGAGCTTCCTCGAGTGCCCATAAACAAAATACCTGGCACCCAGAGGCTGAAAATCCATTAATATTTTTACAAGGAGGGTGATTTGAGTCAACGGTGACTCTGGGAGCGCCGAGCCGCTGCACACCCTCGCGGCTCACGAGGGCCGCAGGGGAGGTGAGGCTGGGACACACTTTAAATGCATTGCCTTACCTTTTAGGGCTACACCACAGTTCATAAAATGCTTACTATAAACTTTATTAATGCTCTTCCTTCCACACAGGCTATCTCTGAGGAAGACAAACGCTCTAAACCACCGGCAAGTATAAAGGAGGAAAAAAAAACCCCAAAAACCTGTATTTTGCTGCACTCATTCTGCAGCTATTACTTAAAAGTGGACAGAACAGCTTTCAGACAGGGCCCCAGCCAAGATGACCTTTGTAGTCAGCCAGGTATAATACACATCTGCAGGTCAAACCAACTATCCATAAGATTCAATTACAATTTCTGTATATACTGTAATGATGAGAGGTGAAGTTACTGAGGAGATAACGGCTAAGCTGAACAAATGTAGTTGCACTAGCCATGATTCCTAAGAAAAAAAAAAACCACAAACTTTAAAAAACCCCAGTTCCAGTCATCATAAATGCTGTGGTGCCCCATGCTAAAACCCAGGTCTGGTTTTGCTGCAACAAAATTAAAGCCAGCAGAGAATCTCCTGCAGAACACTTTGCTTCTCCTTTCACTTCCTCTGGGTATTTTTGACATTAAAAATCCCTTAGTTCTGACTCGAAACATTGCTGGGACAGTTCAAGTATGATAAGTCTGATCACAAGCTCACACAGACTATCCAAAACATGCTCTTAAGGGTGTGGAGAAACAACTCCTGCTGCTGATTTCATCTTCTGGTGGACATCAGCCCGTGTGAGGCAATCCAGGCAGGGTGAGATACCTCCCAAACAAGCCTCGCTGTTCAAAGTTAATGAACCAACAATTAATTTTTACCCAGGATGGATGGAATATGCATCTCAGCTTCTGGATGTTCCCAAGACAGTCCCTCAGCATCAGAGCCCCACTATCACTTGTTTCCTCAGCATTCTTTGGGAAAATACCTTACATCTAAACCTGTGTTTTGAGCTCGCTCTGTGTGCCTGATGGAGAGGAGAGCTGGCAAGAGTATG